AGTCAAGTCGAGTCAAGTCGAGTCGACTCGAGTCGAGCCCAGTCCAGTCCAGTCCAGTTGAGTAGAGTAGAGTATAAGCTTCTCAAAATAGCCACTCAGCAGATATAGTGTTTCAAAGTTGTACATAAGTTAACTCACGCTAAAGCAAGACAAAAATTCTTAGCGACGCAATATCAGACTGTTAGACTGTACTATAATGCCATGTAGGGTAGTAATAAAGCAGAGTAGAGAAGATTAGGATAAGATGGAGGCAGTAGAGGCCATAGAGGCTCAGAAACTCTATGCCAATTTTAGAAAATATTTTGGGACACATAGTTCGAAAAGCATTATAGGGTGATTTTCAAACATGGCTGTTTTCCAACCTCCATGTGTGACTCAGGCATTAATGTCTGTTTAACAAGCTAAGAGAGACTTTGTTGCCCTGTATTGCCCCATTTTTCTCATGATAAAAGCAAAAAAAGACCATGGCAACTGTTGTTGTCAGTTTAATTTAGTGTGTGACTGAGTTTATGACCGATTTCATAAGAAATGTCCCTGCTGGTCAATGAGCGTTAGCCAGTGAAAACCTCAAATTTACCAAACAAATGTACAAAGACCTATGATGGTTGGAAGACTTGCCTATGTAATGGAATTTTATGCCAGTGGAATGAAGTTACAATCCGGAATTGCTTGTAATTCCTTGTTACGAGGGATTGCAGTCATGGGACAGATTAGATGGAAATGAAAACTCCATGTTTAAACACCCACTCGGGCTCCTTGAACAAAGTGGTCTGGGTTTGAGCCCGGGCTGGGGACATTGTGTTGTGTTCTTGGGTAAGACACTTAACTCTCGCAGTGCCTCTCTCCACCCTGGTCAGTTGAAAAATGGGTACCAGCAAACTTAATGCTGCGAGTAACCCTGCGATGGACTTGCATCCCATCCTGGGAGGAGAAGAAATGCAGAAATGCTACAGAAACTAGCAGAAGTACTGGTCTGATGGGCCACTTGGCTACTATGCAGAATTAAGCTACATGAGCCTCCAATTTGCAAGCTAGTTCCACTCCAATAGTGAGAATATAAAAATGGCCTATTTATTAGGCAATGCTGACGTCCTTATTGAAGGGAATGGAAAGAGTGTATAACAATGAACTAACTACTGTTAGTAGCTACTCCACGAAATATCTCAAGGACTTCAGATTACATCCATGTGCTATAAACTCATTGTGAGTTATGTTTGTAAGGGTTGCATTACAATCACATATGCACACATGCAGTGATCATGGCAATGGACCATGAGCATATAAGCTCAAATTCATGGTAGGCCCAATCAAGCGTCCAAAACTGTAACATACCTTTCCTCGTCTGCTGAAATTTTTCAACTTTGGACTGTAAATCGAATCTGTAGATGTTTTCAAATAGTTGTTTTAACAAGTCGAGCTGCTTCTCTTCGTCTTCCTTTACTTCCCCAATTGCCACAAATAGTTCCTTAGTATTCGTGATTTTTTCCAGCCTTGCTTTCGTCAAAATGTCAGCGCAAAGAAACTTTATATCTTTCAGTTCACCAGAATCTAACTCATCGGAAAGTTTGTGGAGAAAAAGACGAAAATTAGAAATTCGGCCAGTCATGGCTACTGCACCCGCAACGGCCTTGCATCAAGTACAGACCCTACTTCAGGAAGTAACTTGTTCACGTGACGTCTAGGAACTCTCATGGAGCCCTGACAAGGGTCTTCAAGGGGTCCTTCAAGGGACGTTTTAGGCTCGATTACCAGCCGCTGTACACGAGAGAGCGGCGGAAATCGAGCCCTGGGAGGTTTCAGGAATTGTAGAATGAAGAAAAGTCAGCTTTCATACTTTCTTGTGGTCTATAACATGGTCTATTTGCGTGATAAACTGAAGACTTCAATTTCAATACTGGATGATTTTGAATGTCCACTAAACAGAATCGAAAGTGTTCCACATCAGCTTTTTAGCTGCCTTTAAATAAAAAAATTAATGTGTCCCCACCCCTCTCCCGCCCAAACCCCTGCCCTACCGTACCATTCTGATCTTTCAAATGACCTTCCCGATTCCTTCAAAAGTTCATGGACAGACACGTAGTTAGGTAAGCAAGTTAATTTATGTACGAGGATGAGTCAAAAGTAGAAGCGGGATGCAAGGTTGTGTAGCTTCCGCTAATTGCAGTTGGCTTAAAGCTTAATCTTATATCATTTGTTCACGGTTTTTTACACGCTAAACCCGTCATAATCAAAAAGGTCCCAATGACGGGCATCCACCCAGATGAAATGCCACAAAGTTATTTAAAGGTTAAACTAACAGCTAGTTCTTTAAAACACACTGTGCCACAACTTTTAGTTTCTGTTTAATTTACAAAATTTGTTTGCTTATTTCAGTGTCCACAATTAGTACAGCCGTGCTTAACACTTCGACACTTAAATAAAGTGATTTATTTATTTAGTTACTTATTTTATTTATTTTACTAATTATCGTCCATTCATTCATTTATTGGTCCATTCATTCATAAAGTTCATCAATTCGTTTAGTCATTCAGTGGTGAGTCACAGACATGCCAACCAAAACGCAATGAAATCAGAGAGATCGCAAGTTTTATCTCTGTACTTCTTTTTGAGCTGTGGGTGGTTGGCAGGCTTTTTGAGTCCAAAAAATGGTGGACTGAACAAAAAAATGCCTGGAAAAATAGGCCAAAATTTATGGGAAACCAGGTACTTTAGGAAATTTTCTTTTCATTCATCTCATCTTCCTTCTTCATTCATTCAGTTTTTATAATATTCCATTTGTCCATCTTTCTAGCTTTCCACCCTCTATTCCCTCCTGCATTCCTTAGTTTTAGTCCCACTCAGTTGTATTTTTAATTGTTTTGACAGAAAGCACAAACTGGCATCCAGTGATGACAGTAGTCTCACTGAAGGAGCATCGAAGGGGAAGAAAAGTCACAAACATGAGGTACAATTATCTACTACTGTGGCCCCAAATTTATGGGGTCTTTTAAATTTTATTTTTGGTGTGTAAACTACAGTGTTCATGGTATTTTTTACCTGATCTATACACATTTACAATACTGATCAAACTATTGTAAATATATTTATAAACTATACATATGAAATAAATACTGGCACATGTAGCTGCTGTTTTCTGCTTTTGAGAAAGTATCAGCAATCTCATAACGGGATATTGAGAATCCAACAGGTTATTTTCTTTCTCTGGGCTGTAGCATCCAAAGTGCCAATAGGATAGTCATTTCAATTAAGGAAATTAAATCATGTGTACTAAAGGCATTCACAGTTGAGTGCCAACTGATACCCTCTATTGATACCCTTGATCAACCCTCGATACTCTATCAACACTCCATCAACACCTCAGTTGACACTCCAGCAACACTCCATCAACTTCTCAGTTGACAGCTGGTCGAGAGTCAACTAATTTTAATATCAACACTCCATCAACACCTCGGTTGACACTCCATCAACATCTCAGTCAACAGTTGGTCGAGAGTCGACAGTTGGTCGAGAGTCGACTAATTTTTGATTGACGCATGAGTCAGTCGACATCCAACTGACTCAACCAACTGTTGAACAAGTAGCGATTCAGTGTCAACCGAGTATTGATCTAGATGTCAATCAAGTATCAATCAAGATGTCAATCAAGGGTATTGATCCAGGGTATTGATTGACACTCGACTGCAGATGCGCTTTAGCTTTAGTACACATGATCCAGGAAATTTATTGATTTTAAGGTTGCATTCTTCTCCTTGTAGCATGCTCAGTCAGATGATGCCAGGCCATCACACAAGCTGTGTGAAGTGCAGGGTGACTTGTTTTCATGTCATGACAGTGAATCTCTTGCTCACTGCATAAGTGCTGATGCCAGAATGGGTAAGGGGATAGCTGTACTCTTTAAGAAAAAATTTGGAGGAGTGGATGAGATCTTAACTCAAGGTAACAACAATTATAAAGTTAATAATTTATATAATTTTTATGATTACTGTATCAGTCCTATGGAAACATGTTTTATTAATCCACTAGTGACAGTTAGAGCACAGTCATGTTCCAAAATGAAATACCAAAGGAGAAACCTTTGTTAATTTGACTGGGTTACTATCTGGACGTGATCCATTCAATTTATATGCTGCTTCTTCCTTGTACAAAATGGTAGAATTGTACACTTAGGGGCAGTGGCCTTAATGTGTTGGACTCTGGATTCTGTATTGACTGGAGTCAGTGTGTTATGCTCTAAGTAAGGCAAGACACTAAGCTGTTACCTCTCCACTAAGGCAGTTCAGACTAAAATCCCATTTGAATTCAGTCACTTCATCTTAGTATACTAGTAACTGGAGCAAAGCACAAGCACTTTTAAACTACATGGCAACTCCACTCTCCAGAAATGAGGCGGATGTTTTTCTTAGTATATTTTTATCCCCTAATTGTCCTTTGTAGTTAGCACTTTGATCTTTTCTGTCTTGGGACATGTCACTGGCTCGATTACCAGCTGCTGTTTTGGGAAAGGAGCCGGTGCTCCTCCCTTGAATGAGGAATGTAGACCAGACTTATAAGAGTGGCAGAAATTGAGCTACTGTGGCCTAAGGACATATTTGAATTAAAAAATAGCCCTGAATTTAGCCTAGAATTGTTTTTATTAGGCATCTCTAACTGACATTTCAGACAACCCTGATGTCTGTCATGTTCACTTCAGACATCATTATTCAGATCATAAGTACTAAAGGCATCTGTGGTCCAGTGTCGATTGATACCCTTGATCGTTATCCTCAATCAAAATAGCGACCGATACTCGATCAACACTTGATCAACAGTCGGTCAATAGTCAGCTGAGTGTCGACTAACTCAGATGCATCAATCAAAAATTAGTTGACTGTTGACCAACTGTCCACCTAGATGTCGTTCAAGTGTCGATCGAGAGTCAACCGATGTGTTGATGGAGTGTCAATCAAGTATCGATCGAGTGTCGATCGCGGGTATCGATTGAGAGTATCGATCAACACTCAACCATGGATGTGTGTAGTATACATTATCCCATTATTCAGGATATCAAAACAGACCTTTTTTATGAAATTAAATCAATTTTACTCAATTTTATCATTCAGCACAAAAACAAGGAGGTGTGGCAGTTCTGGAAAGAGGGAAAAGATATGTTTACTACTTGGTAAGCTGAGTTAAAATTAATGTAGTTATATACCTCGTACTAACCGAGTTCGAGATCCGTATTGTAAGTTACAAACTGAGTTTTTTCCCCTTCAATTTATGGCCCAAGCGCAAAGTGCGCAGGTCATAAACCGAAGGGGAAAGACAAGGATCCGTAACTCACAGTACAGACTGAGAAGACGAGGTTAGTAAGATATTTATCATATCTCTACCGTGTGCCTGATGGGTTCAGAAATGATTTCTATTCATGCGAACTGGGAAAGGCTTCAAATTCCTGATGCACCTCGAAAGCAAAACAAGTCAGTTTGAAATTGTTTTTAAGTCATTAGCATGCTTTATTACACAATTTAGAGTATAGGAAAGTTTTAAACTTTCACTTGCTATAAAAGTTAAGAGCACTTGGCGATAAATACAAAACAGTTTGGCAACAAAACCAACTTTATATTTTAGCTGGCCGTACAGGAGAGTACAGCTAGCTAAATTGACCTGTCACAACCTATCTACCAACCCTCCATTTCCAGCAAAGGGCTAACACTTGGAATGGCAGAACCTCTAATCACTGTTTCGAATCAGCTTTTCTTGTGGTGGTGACCTGTGCATTTGCGTATTAATTTTTCAATACTTTTGAACATTTCATCACTTCCCTCTGTGCATGAAACTCCAGTTCACCCAATCTTGTTTTTCTCCTCAAGTAGAGTCTGCATATGAGCCAAGTGGCTCATCAGGCCAGAGCTTATCCTGGTTTCAGTAGCATGAAGTGACTAGTAGTATTCCTACTCCCCCATGGATGGGATGCTAGTACCTGTTAATTCACTGGTACCCATTTATACATCCGGGTGGAGAGAGGCACTGTGAGAGTAAAGTGTCTTGCCCAAGAACACAACACAATGTCCCTGGCCAAAGCTTGAACCCAGACTGCTTGCTCTGGAGTCGAGGGCACTAACCCTGAGCCCACTGTGCCTCCCACAAAATTTTCCTCCTCAAGTGGCCCCTTAGAAATGGCAATCATTTACCCCTCTCTTGCCATTTCCTCCCTATTAGGCTCAGCTCTTGGAGTGACATTTCTTTCTCTTCATCATTAATTTTAAGGTCACCAAGGAAAAATACTTTCATAAACCAACATACAACAGTTTACAGTCATCCCTGACAGCAATGAGAGATCACTGTGTTAGTCATGGTGTAACAAGTATATCAATGCCAAGGATCGGTTGTGGCTTAGATGGCCTGCAATGGCCAAAAGTCAGAAATACCATAATTCAAGTGTTTCAAGATACAGACATAAAATTGACTGTATACACATTGTAGCAGATAGAGAAGACAGTATCATAATAATTATTATGCAAGTTCATTTAGAGAGTGAGATTGAACAGATGTGTATATAAGTATTGCTGTTTGTTTTGGAATACATTGTACATCTTGGAGAAAAACTGTTTATATTCATGTAGTACAGTACAAACATCAAACGTCTGTAATATTACTTTTAATGCAATGAAATGGTTCAGACAGCTGCCTGAGTATCCTTGTATTCCCTTGTCTAATTGATATATAAATTAATATTAATCTCAACAAAACTTTGTTTTGTTGGTAATTCAAAATGGCAATTTTTTTCTTCTGCCTCAGTTTTCCTTTGAAGTATTGTCAGTGCTCTTTAACATTTGGCATTTAGAAATGATTGCTAATGACCTCCATCTTTTTGAAATGGCTCCTTGTTGGTGATCTTTTCAAAATATCTAACACACAACCCCATCTGTTTTATCAGAGTAAACCCTAGGGGTGGGGTAAAAAACTACAGTTCTCTTTTGAAAAACAGGCTGGTGTGTTGCTGCTTCTGCAACAGGAACCTTATACCAAGCATGATGGCAACAGGAACGACAATGTTGCCAAAGAAAAGGCTTAATGCCTGGGGGCACTCACATTTAAAAAGGACGGGAGTTCTCATCGGACCTTTTAGGGGTTAGAGTGGTTTTGATGCCTCTTAGTGTGTTCAGCCTCCAAAGCTCCACAGCAGGACCTTCTGCAGTACCTTTTAAGGGTATTGAGCCGAAATAAAATGTGACAGGAGATAATGTGTTGCTTTAGATTTGGTACCTCTTAAGGGGTGAGAAAAAATTTCAAGCTACACCCACAAAACAGGACTGTGGTACCTCTCGGATGTTCTTTTCAAAATTTCCGACGAGCACTCCTGTCCTTCTCATATGGGAGCTCTCCCGGGGCTTAATGAGCAGAATACTGGATCTACATGTGCGTATATGCACCTTTGTACGTTTTGTAGCCATCCTTTACAAATCCACAACATCAAATAACCAATTTTTGGGAGAACATGAAGCACAATAGCTAGAATTTTTAGTATTCCTATTTGAAAGAGAATGGGGCATGTTTTTACCAACTGGCACACTGAATTCAATAGATCATAGTGGATGTCTGTGAGATACTGAAGTAAAAATCAATACCAATACTTTTTCCAAAAGGCATCATCCTCTTTGTCACCATCATATAATATACATTTACATAATTTATGCATAAGGTCCCTAATGTCTGCTGACGTCAGGTTCAATAAGGACTAGATCAAACACAGTTGTTGGTTGATTAAGATTTATCACAAATCTGCATTTATTTTAATATTATTCTCCCAAAGCAATAACAGCTGCAACATAATACATGTACCAGTACTTTGAATACAGTTTTTTTTTTTTCCTTTTGGAAGATATGAGTCAACAATATCATAACTATTAAACTGGGTGAGCTAGCTAGTTCGTACGAACAAATTGTATAACATTGGAAGTGATCTTGACTAATAATTTGAATGAGCCAGGAATCCTTTTCTATGGTATAGTCCTGCAACCCACAGGGCTTTTTGTTTATTGGTTGTTTATGGATTACTATACATCATCAGTTGAACAAAATTACACATATTAACATTAAAATACTGTCATTGTTTAGTATATGTTTACATTTTGTTTGAGCAGGTCAATGGATACTAAACAATTACTGGATGAGGTTTTTGTGATGTCCAGAATAATCATGGTCCACATAGGGGTTATCAGCCAAAGGCCAAGGCTAATAACCCTTACCGAGACTTTGATTATTCTGGATATCACAAAAACCACATCTAATAATTGTTTTATTATATATTAATTGAATGAAAAGAAAAATAGAAGTCATGTTTTTGCTTCTTAACTGACAGCAACCAACACAAAGCATGCAAACATGATTACCTGTGACCTTAAGTGTCCTTGACATGATTATTGTAATCTGCAGCTAGATGATGTCACAGGCGCTGATTTAGAAAATTCTCTATACACTTTCGGCCAATCCAAAAAGAGATAGCAAGTTCAATGTATAATAATTTCCCTTATTGCACAAATAAAAAGCCCTGGGGTTTGGAGGGTGCCATAAATAAGAGAGTGAAACAGGACATTTGCAGAATACTAGACAGTGGCATGATACAAATAGTTATAACCTCTACTAGTCTTAACTGACTCCTAATGAGATTTATGTGAATTATGTACACAACTTGCATTGAAAGCAATATGCAGAATTGTTAGTGAGAATAACTTATCATTAACGATGCATAATGCATAATAAAAGCATAATAACATACATTCAAATTGCAAAATGTAATTCTGTGAATGTCATTTAAAGTTGTTAATAAATCAATAGTTCTTTGACATGTTTGTCTAGGAGTATTAAAAATTTCAAAGTTGTAATGTTCAATGCATTAGTTAGCTGTAAGAAATAATTGCAATTAATTATAAGTACAGTTGGAACCTACTTATTCGAACTCCGTTATTTTGATTTCTCCATAATTTTGAGCTCAAAACAGTTTGCCATGGATTCCCCCTACAGTCATTTACTATCAGTTATTTCAACCTCCCGCTATTTCGAAAGATTTTTCGTTTCCCCTGCTGGTTCGAAATGGCAGGGTTCAACTGTAACTCTTATTGCCACCCAGAGACCATATATAAAACTAGCTTTAAAAAAAGTTGAAAGATCTTTTTGGCTTGCTGGAGTGTCAGGAATTAAATGAAACAATATTGGCATAAGCATTTAGATCAGAACAAAGAGGACAATATATAATTTCTGAAATCTGATGTTCAGTTTAATCTACTTGTATTTTCCAAAAAGCAAATATTGAAACTAGTCTTAAATTACCAAGAACCATGAATGATGAAAGATGCCTCGGTTACTGCATTATTTTAATGTGCCCTATGATTTTAGGTTTGAGAGTAGCACCATATCAGAGGAGTGTCCAAATAAAGGAAATGTTAGAATTTAACATTAGATTTAGAGGCAC